GCAGCGGGCGGGTCAGGAGAGGTCTGCCACACCATGGGGATCACCTCCGGGCCTGGGGATCGAACTCGTGCTGCGCTAGCTTGTAGTGCTGCATCCTAACCCGCTGTGCCACCATGGTGGACCCATGGGCAGATATTTCTTTCAGAGAAAGAAAAATGAGGGTGTCCAGAAGAGAGGGACACATGCTTTCTTTTGATTTGATATGTATCTATCAGAATGTCTCAAGGACTCCTAAGGCTGAAAGGTAGCTTGTAGCTTGGAGAAAAGTCAGAAAGAGAGAAGGAATACATTCAGCAGCTTGTTCCAGGCTCTTAGGCTAAAATTTAGGGGTCACAGGAGAGCATGCAGAAGACAACGTGATAACTGAAAGCCAGTCTGCTATGGAAAGAACAGGCATAAAGTTCTTTTGTGCGTTCTATTTTTTTTTATTGCCCTACTTGTCTTTGAAATCCCTCCCTCACTTCAGATGTGGCTAAAGAATCAGCAGGTAGGACCAATATGAGTCTGAATATATGTGCTGAAGTGAAAGCAGGCATCTGGTGCTATTATCAGTCTTGTAAGAGAAAGTAACCCTCATGAGAAAGATTACACAGAAAGATCTTACCCACATAAACACTAGTCTTCCTGAGTAACTTTCAAATTCCTGCACTTCCTTGCAATAAGACTCTAGAAATCGTTTACTTTCAGCCACTGTGTTTGTCACAATGGCTCCAGGAGGATCCCTCCAAACTGGATTTTGTGATTCCTCTGTCATGTGGCTTCAGTCTGAGTTTTACTGATGGGAGACCTGGCCTGAGACTGGAGGGTGGAAGGAGAGAGAAGCCACATCATGTCCTTCCTTGCTTTCTTTGTTTGGGGCTATACAAGATTGTGATGAATAGAAACTATGTATTTGGTCATCATAATGATATGCATGTTTGCATATTTGATCTTCATTTACTGTTCCTGCCTCTCAGCTTCCCAAAGTCTTGGTATTTCCCAAGTGTTTTGTTATGTGAGTTAGGAAGCACCTAGAAGTGGGACAAGGGGCAATCCTGTGATGACAGCGGGTTGGGCTTTCCAACCCCACCTCCTGACCTCAGGGGAAGAAGAGTGGCTTGAGGTTGATTTCAGTTGTCAATCACCAGTGATTTAATCAATCATGCTCATGTAATGAAGCCTCCACAAAAGGTCAAAAGCAGGAGCTTCTGAGACTTTCTGGGTTGGTGGACCTGTGGGCATCTAGGGAGAATGACAGACCTGGAAAGGGTGTGAAAACTGCATCCTGCCCAACCCCCCGCCCCACCCTACCCTAAGCAGGTCTTCCATTTGGCTGTTTTAAATGCATTTTAATACATTGGTAATCTAGTGAGTAAAAGGGTTTTCTCTGTTCTGCGAGTTGCTCCAGAAAATTAATTGAGCCTGAGGGACCTCTGGTTTGTAGGTGGCCAGCCAGAAGCACAGGTGAGAACCTGGACTGTGTCCAGCACTGAAGTGGAGGGCAGTCCTGGAGATGGAGTCCTTTACCCGTGGACACTGCGGCCATCTCCAGGCAGAGACCAGTGTGAGAGAACTGCTTATTAATGAGGGGACGCCTTCCCTGCCCCTACCCAAATACTGCTCTCAAGACAACTGCACAGTCAGGATCTTTAAAATGCAATTGGATGTATCTTGTTTGTGGTCTCAGTTCTTGTTGCCCACCCCCACTCCTGACACCCACTAACCTCAGTCCCAGGTACCCGAGCATCACCGCTTTCTTTATTTCCCTACCAAGGGAAGTTATTACCTTCCATGGTTGGTCTAAGGGATGGTTCGCCACCCTTGCTTTGCCCTTCCTGTTTGTCATATACTTTTTTATAATTTTTCTTCAAATAAAATCTCTCTGCTGAACTCTCTTTTTCTTGACTCTGATAGATTTATTTCAGAAATAAACTTTGTATTTGTTAGTACAAATACCTCGTTGCCTGAGCTCCAAGGGAGATCCACTTTCCTTTCCATTCCATTCTAGAAGCAAAACTGTAACACCTTCTATTCATATAGGGTAGAGGCTTCATTACATGGCATGCTTGAGTAAATCACTGGTGATTGACAAATGAAATCAACCTTCAGCCACTCTTTCTCCCCTGAGGTCGGGAGGTGGGATTGGAAACTCCAACCCACTGCCATCACATGATTGTCCACTGTTCATGAGTCCCCCTCTCTAGGTGGTTTCTTGGAAGAAGCCCTGTGAGATAGGCAGCAGAAGACAAAATTGGCTACACTTAAGCAGCTGATAGTAGAAACAGAAGAAAGGAGATATTTTAACCTAAATCTTCTGTCTCAAAGTCATAAGGGTAAAATAATAATATTTTAAATGGCCTCATATATGAAAAACATATTTAGTAGTAAGAAGAAATGTTTCTGAAGCTTATATTAAGTGCCTTCTAGGTGTATTTAAAATTTAACCTTTATTGGTATTTCTTTCTGGTATTGGTTCTTAATACCTTATATTTATCTTCATATAAATTTCGAACATTACATCAGCCTTCAGTGAAATATCAGATTTTTCAGTGAAAAATCAGTGAAAATAGTGTTTGAAAAAGGGTTAGAGAAGAAAGAGAAAAACAAGAAGGGTAGATATTAAGCAAAAGAGAAAAATGATAGGGGCATTTGGTATCTTACAGAGAACACTCTCAAACACACACATACATTCATTTATTAAAATATATAAAGAGGTATAGAATAGTTTTTCATAGAATTCATGATAACCTTGAGACCATATGACAAAGTAACTTATAACAAACCTTTGTAGCCTAATTACATGTGAATATTAATTGAATTACAAGGCCAAATAATTATCTTTTCTTTCCTCCATTTAAGAAACTTTGGAAGGAAACCGTGTCTCTTTGACATAAAAATTATTTTGAAATGAAGATAATTAACCAGAAAAATATAGAAAATAAACTCCCTTCTTGGCCTTATGGACAAAGAAAAGCGTCTCCTTTTACTAGAGATAGACTCTTAGCAGGACTGGCAGGAACCAGAGGAGTCTGCAAACTTTGCTAAGCAAACCTTATTTTGCCTCACCCAGTTAGATGGCTTTCCACCTTTGTCTTGTCAACTCTTCATCAAAATGTATTGATTTTTTTTTTTTTTGCTTTGTTTTGTTTAAAAGAGATAACACCTTTCTGCTCAGGTTACTTCTAGGGTCCTCATCCTCTTGTGAAGCTACCCCTCTACATGTAAAATGTAAATAAAACTTGTAAGCATTTCTCCTGTTAATCTGTCTTCACTAGTTTAATTTTCACACCCCTATTCAGGAACCCAAAGAGGGTCAAGGAGAACTTTTCCTTCCCTTAAAATCCAATTTGGATTATAATTCTGAAGTATACACAACTGCCTCAACTAATACTCCTAATCTTACCAGTCTATTTACTTCAGATAATTGTTCACATGGCATGTATTTATCTGGGAGAAAAGTTCACATTCAATCACTTATCATTTTGTCTCTGTCCTGATTGAGCCTCTTTCATTTGAAGTGTGTAGCCCTTCCCCCTACTCAGCCGTTCTCCGGGCCTTGAAAGCGGCCTTGAATGCAGCCTTGACATGGAGAAGGCATTGTTTTCCTCTGGGGAAGAACCTGGCACCACTTGTGCCCAGTGGTCACTGGGGTTATGTTGACATAGCACATTTACTGGAAAATGGAGAATGCCAGTCCAGCTGTTCCTTGGAATATGTTGCTCAAAATAGATTCATCCTCAGCTGGTGAGACTGAGCTGGGTCAGCAAGACCAATTCTATCCTCCCTCCCCTCATCATGCATAACACAAGCCTCCACAGCTCCAGTTGAGAGGTCAGGGGCCTTGACCTGGCAGGTGTCTATTTTGAGCGGAACAGCCACACAAGACCGGCAGAGGTTGTACATGGAGGGAACGTGCTCGCCTCAACTTCTGTCCTCACCGGATGGTGTAGCTCAGCCTGGTCAGTCAGTTACCCACTCATTCAGAACCTATATTTAAAAATTTCTGGCCGGAGTGACTACTTATTTCCATGGTCCTCCAACAAAAGAGGTTACTCTGAGAAGTTAGGATGCTTTTCAGACATTATCTAATTAGCACTGTGTCTGTATTGCAGAAAATATCTGTAGCACTCAGCATTTTCATGAGAAAATTTAGTCACATCCTGGCTACTCTCATCTGAGTGAGTCAGAAGGTAGAAAAGACACAAAATGAAATAGGAGCTTGATTTGGGTTAAGTTTAGGTGTAAGACTTCCCATCTCTGGGAAGAGAAAGTCATTAGCAGAATCCCACAGTGTTGGGATGTTACAAGAATTACAAAAAAAAACTTCTCAGTCCTTTGTGGTGCTATGTATATAGGTAGTTAGCCTTACAATATTCAATTAAATGTTCTAGTTTTTAGTAAAATGCTGAATAAGTCTTCTGAAATGTTATGTTATAATCTGTATTTTTCAAGAGCATCAGCTGATTTGAAATAGTGTGAATACAGGTTTTCAAATAAACTCTTGGTATTTTCTCAATGACAATGTCGTGACAGCTATACCTCATCACTTGCTTATTGAGGGTCTCCTGGTGACAGGAGGGTGACAGTCACTTGTGCCAAAAGCCTCGTATTTTGTCTTTGGTATTTTAATGTAACCGATTTAGATAAGGATTGCTTATGAGATTGCTTAAGAGGAAAATAGATAAAAATACGATATGACATATAATTGAATTTGTAAATGCTTACTGGTGCTGCCCAGGCCAGGCCAAGAAGGAGCAGTCCAAAACAGACCAAGTGCATCTTTAAGAAACTCTGTAAGAAAGCAAAAAACTTTTTACCTAAAGCACTGCCAATTATGAATGCAATAACAAGAATAAATAAATCACTCAGGAATATATAAACAGTCTTCTCCCTAGCAGTCCATTTCTTTTTTAAAAACAAAAATCTGCATCTAATTCATTAATATGCTGGTGTGGATATTTTAATATAAAAGCTTTCATATGTCTACTTATTTCAATATTGAAATGAAAATTATTCAATATTATTAAAACAATGAATTCAGTTAATTAAAAAGTGGATTTTTAAGGCATATTTATTTGTTCTATCATCAATGCAAATTTTTCCTTTTCATCTTTAACAGGTGATTGTTTAGTTAAATTATATCATTTATAATGACATTAAGTTAGTATAACAGATCATGACCGTTTCCTTAAGTGAGTTTGCTGGAGAAGCAGGGTTCACTGTGGGGAATGATATCATATCCCTACAGGTTAGTGCTCCAAAGTATATCCTTATAGTCATGAACAGTATATCTGAGTCAGTAGCCATTCATGGGCTGGAGAGTGAAAATAATTTATATAATTATTGATCATCTTTATTGATCATTTTTGACTACAAAAATGAGCCAAATACTGATGTAAAAAATTTACATGTATTTAGCTGAACCTCATAACAACCTTCTTATCTTATAGATGGAGAAGGCACATAAACTGAGTGTTCTAGGAAGAACTGAGATTAGTATTCTGGAAATGTAGCTAGAGAGACCTTGTTCTTAATCAAGATTCAATCAGCATTGAATAAGCCTCTATTCATTTATATCATTACAGAAAACTATATATATAGTTGACTTAAAACAAAGTATATTTGCTATTCATTGGACCCCACAAGATTATGTTTAAAACACAATTATTTATGGATAAAGGTACATGTTTATACTAAGAATATCTAGCAAATTCATTTAAGTCACATAGCCATTAGAATGAAAAACAAAATATCAACTTAATCTGTATTACTAAA